GACCCTTATATAGGCCCCATGCACCGTACAACCATGCAGCACCAAAACGGCACCGTTTTGGTGTAAGAAGAAAAACGTACCCAACTAAAAGAGTCGCAACACGCGTTTAAGAAAAAGACTTAAAAGAAAAATAAAAGAAACAGAAAATAATAAAACCGAGAACAAACTAAGCCTTCAAACTGCAAGTAGCTTCTTCATCATGATGCACAATTCCAACAGGGATGAAGCTGCACTTTGTGTAATTGTGTTTGATGTTGATCTCTGCTGAAAAAATATTGTTATGTGTTTTGTTTTGTATATGTTTTGGTTGGGTCGTCATTTTTTTCATCCCTCATTCATCTTTTTTAGTTTTAATGTTGAGTTTCAGACAGATCTTACGGTCCCGTTATGAAACTATTTTGTCTGAGTTTGTATACGTTAGATCAACTATGCACAACGATTATATGATAATCTAACGGGACGACGGTTATATGATAATCTAACAGTTACAAATCACGACGAAATGGTATTAGAATGAGAAGCGCACCATAAAAGGATGAGCCTAGATGCACTTTAGTAAGGTTCTATCCCAAAACCAATTGGTGATGGGAGAAGTAACCCACTAGGCTTATAAACTAGGCTCATTTACCCTATATAATCAATGTGGGACAACTCACAAGTGATATTCCAACACGTCACTCACTTGTTAGTCCTTCGTAAGCCCAAACCCACATAGTAGACCCGGTAGAGAGATAAGCACAAGCTCATAGCAGGTTGGGTAGAGAGAGTCATTGCAGGTTCTAAGACAGGTGCGCTCGGACACCATATTAAAATGAGAGGAATAGAGTGCGGTCCCACCAAGTGAAGCGCACCATAAGAGAGTGAGCTTAGATACACTTTAGTGAGGTTCCATCTCAAAACCAATTGGTGATGGGAGGGGTTGCCCACTAGGCTTATAAACTAGGTTCATTTATCTTATATAATCAATGTGGGACAACTCACAAGTGATATTCCAACAAATGGTTCCGCAACGGGACTGTAGCATTTCTTAGAGTTTCATACATTCGTGTAAGATCTGTAAATCGCAAATGAACGAGAGAAAAGAGAAAGAAGAAAGGTTGCAGTTGTATTCCACTAGGCTTATAAACTAGGCTCATTTACCCTATATAATCAATGTGGGACAACTCACAAGTGATATTCCAACACGCCCACTCACTTGTTAGTCCTTCGTAAGCCCAAACCCACATAGTAGACCCGGTAGAGAGATAAGCACAAGCCCAGAGCAGGTCGGGTAGAGGGAGTCATTGCAGGTCCTAAGACAGGTGCGCTCTGACACCATATTAAAATGAGAGGAATAGAGTGCGGTCCCACCAAATGAAGCGCACCATAAGAGGGTGAGCCTAGATACACTTTAGTGAGGTTCCATCTCAAAACCAATTGGTGATGGGAGGAGTTGCCCACTGGGCTTATAAACTAGGTCCATTTATCTTATATAATCAATGTGGGACAACTCACAAGTGATATTCCAACAAATGATTCCGCAACGGGAGTGTAGCATTTCTTAGAGTTTCATACATTCGTGTAAGATCTGTAAATCGCAAATGAAAGAGAGAAAAGAGAAAGAAAAAAGGTTGCGGTTGTATTCCACTAGGCTTATAAACTAGGGTCATTTACCCTATATAATCAATGTGGGACAACTCACAAGTGATATTCCAACACGCCCACTCACTTGTTAGTCCTTCGTAAGCCCAAACGCACATAGTAGACCCGGTAGAGAGATAAGCACAAGCCCAGAGCAGGTCGGGTAGAGAGAGTCATTGTAGGTCCTAAGACAGGTGCGCTCTGACACCATATTAAAATGAGAGGAATAGAGTGCGGTCCCACCAAGTGAAACGCACCATAAGAGGGTGAGCCTAGATAGAAGAAAGGTTACGATTGTATTGAATAAAATCGTAAAATGAACAATTAGGCTTAAGGTTTTATGTACAAGCCTATTTATACAAGATGTTATAACACTAAAGATACTGAAACTAAGTAACAACTTATAAAGTACAAAATACACTTTTATGTTGATTACTAAAATGCCCTATATGCTAATACCCCTTTCCCCTTCCCGCGCAAGCTAAACATGTATATTTTGCAAGTTTAGCTTGGAGAGTAAATGCTGAAATGCTGGCCCTAGGAGTGCTTTTGTGAACAGGTCTGAGGTCTGCTCCTTGTGGGGATGTATAGCAGTTGTATGATTTTTTGTGCAATCTTTTCCCGAATCAAGTGGCAGTCGATTTGGATATGTTTTGTACGTTCATGGAAGACAGGGTTACATGCAATGGCCATGGCTGAACTACTATCTGAAATAAGGTAAATGGAGAAGAGTGAGTAAGTTGAAAATCAACAAATTGATAAAGAAGCCACTGGATTTCACATGAAGTTGTTGCTAATGCTCTATATTCAGCCTCAGCTGAAGATGTACTAACAGTAAACTGTTTCTTAGATTTCCAAGATATTAAAGAACTTCCTAAAAAAACAGAGTACTCAGTTATGCTTTTCCTAGTATCAACACATGTTGCCCAATAAGAGAGGAAGATCTAGGAAAGAATATACCTTGTGCCACTGTGCCTTTAACATACCTGAGGATTCTGTGGACAACTTTCAAATGTTGTGTAGATGGTTGTGACATAAATTGACTAACAGTATGTACACTGAATGCATTGTGTTGCATCAGTTAAAGTATCTAGAGATTGTTAAATACAATAATCTACCAACAGTTCTTCTATACTCTGTTGCATCAGTTAAAGTATCTGTCTCAGTTGCATCTGTAAGTTATAAAGAAGAATCCATTAGAGTTTTTGCTGGTTTTGAAGCTACAAAGTCTGTATCATTTAATAAGTCTGAGGCATATTTTCTTTGACACATATTGATACCTTTTGCAGAATGAGCAAAAGATAAACTAGTTCTTGAATATGGTTCTATAAAAAATCAAAAAAACTCTCTCTCTCAAAATCTGAAAACCTAGCGCCTATGTAATCTTCTTCGCGTCGCCTTCTTCGGCGGTAGTGCAGCACTGGCTGGTGGTCGAGCTCGACCGTCGTCCCTCCTTCGATGCCCCGGACCCCTAGTATTGTCGCGATGTGCTTGCGTTGTTAGATCTGCACAACCCTTATTTCAACAGAGCTGCAATGATTGGAGGAGGCGTGTTTTTTCGATCGTAAATCAGACTGCAATTTTTGCGTCGTTTAGCATGTTGGTCTCAATTGTAGGTGAGCCCTCCTCCTATTTTTGCTTTTGTTCCTGCCTCTGTCTATGAGTGCGATTATAGGTCTCGGGCAGTTTTGCTTTTTTCGGCGAAGCTTCGTTCGGGATCTTCTCGATAGGTGCCAGTGTTTATACACTGATGCGGGTGGGTTTGTGGGTCGTGAGGTGGGGCAGGGCTCTAATGTTTGAGTCGGAGCTGAGGGCCCAAACCGCCTTCCTGTTCCGGCTAGTGGTGTTAGAAGGCGGGATTCTGGTGCTCCTTAGCTCGGCTAGTGGTGTTAGGTGTGCTTGGGCAGTGGTAGAGTCTGAGTGGTTCGATGTTCCTCCGGTCAAGGCGGGTTGTATCGAAGATTAGTTGGTGTTCGGGCTCGACTCTTTGTATAGGACTTGTTGCAATTTCGGGAGTCGTCCCCTAGACTTTAACTATGCTTTGATTCGACTGTTCTCCGCTGGTTAGGATCAACTGATTGCTTTGGAAGGGCATTTTTTACCTATCTTTAGTTTTGTGTTTTTTTTTTCTTCTGTATTAGGTTTTGTTTTTGTTGTCAATGTTTGGGTTGTTTAGGTCTGTGTTTTTTGTTTGGGCCGTTTGGCCTCAGTATCTCATTACTCTGTTGGGGGTTGTTTTCATTACTCCGTTGGGGGTCGTTCACTACTCTGTTGGGGGTGTTTCGTGTTAGTTTTTTTGTTTTGTGTTGGTTTAGTTTTGGAGGTGTTGTAGTTCTCCATTTGTTTTTGTAAGGACTAGTGAGTCCTCCGATGTTTCTTTTTTGTGATATGAGATATCGTTTGAAAAAAAAAAAAAAAGGAGAATGAGCAAACTCAAGTCTTAAAATGTACTTCAATGGACTTAAATCCTTTATTGTAAAACAGTTATCTAAATGCTGTTTAATGGCTGCAATTTGAGACAAACAATTGCTAGAGATGATAATATCATCTACATAGACCAATAGAGCAATAGAAAAGTTGTCAATATGCAATGTAAATAGAGAACAATCAGCAATAGACTGTGAAAAAACATATGCAATCAGACATTTAGTGAGTTTATTGAACCACTGCCTAGAGGCTTGTTTTAACACATAAAGGCTTTTTCATAAATTGCAAACTCTGTTATCACCTTTAGCACA